GGGTTACGTACAAGATAGGGACTGTAGGTTTGTTCTTAAGTTGAATCTGTATGTAAGTCGGAACTGGCACCCTGACTGAAGCCGCAGCCGCGGGGGGGTCCCGCGCCTCTGAGGCTTTGCCAGAGCAAAGTCTCAGAGGCACGGGGAACCGCCGCTGCTGCCGCTCCAGTCTGGGTGCCTGTGGTCTGCTGGGGACGGTCTCCAGCAGACCAGGGGCACCGGAGCAGCTTACGAACGGGGCCTTCCCGCACCTCTGAGGCTTTGCCAGAGCAAAGCCTCAGAGGCGCGGGGAACCGCCGCTGCTGCCGCTCCAGTCTGGGTGCCTGTGGTCTGCTGGGGACGGTCTCCAGCAGACCAGGGGCACCGGAGCAGCTTACGAACGGGGCTTTCTCGCCCCAACTTCCAGGGCGAGAAAGCTCCGTTCGTAAGTGCGGATCCGATGTAAGTCGGATCCGCGTAAGTCGGGGACTGCCTGTATTTTATGCCGCTTGTACTTTTGAAGCAGTTAGGAATGGCTACGAGGTTAGGTGTTTTCAGCTCTTCCCCATGCACTAAAACCATGATTAGCTAGTAAAGTTGTGTAGCGTCAGCAGAGAAAAGCTGTGAAAATGCCTAAAGCTGGTCAGTACCTACATCCTGTATTAGGTCTTTACTGCAAAACTATGTTCTGGAATATGATCCTGATTTGTAGTTAAAGGGAGGTTAGACAGAGTTAAGAGTAGATGATGCCTTTATTTCTTAACCTGCTTATGAATCATGCTTTAAAGCCATACTTACAGATTCCTTAAGAAGCTTTCTTCTAGTCTAAATTAAAGGAGCATTCACTGGCCTACACACTTTTTCTTGGAGGAAGATAAATTCCATGCAGCATATTTGAATGCTGACTTTTATACACTGTACTCATTTTAAAAGACTGTAGTGTTCTGGTTTTGTTTTTGTTTTCTTTAATTTTGCTTGTGGTCCACAACAGGTAACCTTTTGATGATGCTGTACAAAAAGGGCTTAATGTGATCCTTGGAAAAAAATGAATATAGCAAAGGAGTAGAAGGGTTGTATTACCTCTGTATTTGGCACTGCTATTACTAGTACTGTACTGTTGTGTCCAGTTCTAGTATCCACAATTTAAGAGGCGTATTGATACGTTTGATAAGGTTCAAAGAAGATCCACATGAAGGATTAAAGGATTGGAAACCATGCCTTATAGCAGTGGTTCTCAAACTTTTTGGCTCACAGCCCACCCTGCTCAATGCAGACCTTTCTGTGGACCACCAGTCAGCCACTCAGGATGACAAAATGGGTGCAGGAGTGGTCTGGAGATAGGGGTCTGAATGGGAGATTGGGTGCAGGAGTGGCTGAAGGTGGAGGGTCTGGCTGGCAGGTTGGGTGCAGGAGCGGGCTCAAGTTGGGGATATGGAAGCAGGGGAAGGGTCTGGGAAGTGTAGGAGGAGGCTAAGAGTGGAGGGCTTGGGAGGAAAGGAGGGAGGGTGCTAGGGATGTTAAATATCGGTTAATTGAATAGTTGATTAACCTCATGAATTCCTATTGATTACTCAGCTATCCTGTAGTTCCCGGGGTGGGGCCGGCAGTCAGTGCGCTCCGGCTCCATTCCTGAGGAGCCCCCTGCCACTCCGTGCTGCTGCCTCTGTTTCAGGGGCAGCAGTGTGGAGTGCCAGGTGGAAGCTGGTCCATGAGAGGAGCCAGTCACCCTGCACTGCTGCTTCCGATACCCAGTCAGCAGTGGAGAGCGGCAGCAGCCTTTCTCCAGGGGATGGGAATGAGCTCTCAAACCCGGCATGAGCTGAAACTGAGCCAGGTTGCTTGCTTGCCTGGCTTCTAATACACTTTAAATCCAGAGCCGCAGCAGGTGTAACTCCTGAACCAGCCAGGCTGCTTATTGGTTAATCAGTTAATCGTATATACTATTACATCCCTAGAGGGTGCCAGGAGTAAGCTGAAGGTGTATGCAGGAGTGAGCTGAGGGTGCAGGGTTTTGACAAGAGGGAGTGTATGAGGGGAATGGGAGTGCGGGCTCTGGGCATGAGAGGGATGAGGGGCACTTACTTGGCTCTTTTCAGCTTATCACTCCCAGACACCATCTCCTGCTGCTCCCATTGATCGTGATTCTGACCATTGGGAGCAGGGGAAAAGCCTCCAGGTGAGCAATTTCCTGTGCTGCCATTCCCCCCAGCTGGGGAGAGTGGCAGTGCATGGAGTTGCTTCCTCTCCCCGCGAGCTGGATCTCCCTGGGAGCTGGATCTGGCCCGCAAAGCTCAGGGCTCTCCCCCACAATGGGACACTGGTGCTCCAACTTTGCCCGGGGTATTTGTGTGTGCATGGGACTGGAACACCAGCACAGGCTTCCCACTGCAGGGAAAAGCAAGCCCTGAGCCATTGGTGATCTGTGATAGGGATGTTAAAATGCAGGTTTTTATGTAAATATGTAACTGCTGAGACAGGAACACCGGGTGAAGGGGAGCCAGTGTGCATGGGGAGCCGGCTTTTAAGCAGGCTCCCTGTGAACATCAGCTCCTGGGTTGCCACCTGCCTCTTTGCGCTGCTGCCTCTAATACAGACTGCCTCCCCCCCCTGCCTCTCTCCCGCTCCCTGTGCTGCTGCTTCTGTATCAACCTCTCTCCCTGCACTGCTGCCTCTGATAGAGAGGCAGCAGTGTGAGGGGGCAGGCAGCTCTTAAGGAGCTGTTGCATGTAAGGACCTGCTTAAAAGCCTGCTCCCTCTGAGCACCGGCTCCCACCTGCTCTCTTTCCTCTCCTGCCTGTTGCTTCCTGTGTTACAGAGGCATCTGTGTGGGCATGGGGCCTCGTGTGTAATCGTGACGGTTAACTGATATGCTCAGGCTCGTCAGTAGCTGTTTAATCGCGTACACTAACACATCTGTAATCTGAGGACCACTGCTTTATAGTGATAGACTCAAAGAGCTCAATCTATTTTAGCTTATCAAAAAGAAGGTTAAGAGGTGACTTGATTATTGTATAAGTACCTGCATTAAGAACAGAAATTTAATAATAGAAGATTCTTCAGTCTAATAGACGAACAACAAGACCAAAGGGCTGGAAGATGAATCTAGACAAATTCAGACTTGAAATAAGGTACAAATATTTAACAGTGAGAGCAATTAACTATTGAAACAATTTACCAGGGTTGTGTGGAATCTCCATCACTGGCAAATTTAAATCAAGATTGGATGTCTTTCTAAAAAATATGCTGTAGTTTAAACTAGGGGTGTCATAGTGTAGTCGAGTAATTGATTAACTGATAAGCAAAAGCTTATAGGTTGATGTTATAGATTTTTTAGCAGCCTGGCCAGCAGCCAGGCTCATTTCTGGCTCATGCCAGGTCTGGGACCTATCCCTGCTGCAGCTCTTCATTTAAAGTGTATTAGGAGCCAGGTAGGCAGGCAGCCCAGCTCAGTTCTGGCTCATGACAGGTCTGGGAGCTGAGTCCCGTGTGGCTCTGCATTTAAAGTGTATTAGGAGCTGGGCGGGGGAGCTGTTTTTTAAACTGGCTCCCCTCGGGGACCAGCTCCCACCTGGCACCCTGCACTGCTGCTGCTTATACAGAGGCAGCAGCGCAGGGTGTCAGGAGGCTCCATGGGAGTAGGGCTGGAGTGCACTGGCTGCTGTCCCCACCTCATGGGACTATACAGTTGTTGAGTAACTGATAAGCATTCATGAGGTTACTCGACTATTCAATTAACCGATATTTAACATCCCTAATTCAAACAGGAATTAATTCAGGGAAGTTCAGTGTTAGGCAAGAGGTCAGACTAGATGATTGAAGTAGTTCCCTGTGGTCTTGGAATTGATGGATCCGTAACTCTCATTTAGCATCTCAACATTTCTCCTGTTCATGTTGATGAGCTACTCTAATAGCTAACTTTTATATGGTGCATCTAGGGGAAAAAGGTTGAGTTGCAGGCGCATTGTGACTCTTGTTGGCACTTCCTTAATTCTGTTATTTATGTTTATTAGTGTCTGATTGTTTCTGTAATGCCATAGATATTCACCCGGGTTCTTTCCTTCACAAGAGCTTGGTCCTAGAAATAGATCCTTGTTTTATGTCATTTGTTTAGGTCTGGAGATTTGTGGCAAAGATTTCCCATTGTTGCTAGTACTTGGTCTAGCTCCACCATTGGTAATAATATTAGGCCACTAGTTTAGTGTAGACACCCACAGCAGTGTTTTAAAGAGTTTTGTCTAACCAAAGTGGGTCTAAATGATGCCATGTTATAAACATAAGTGGCCACCTGTGTTTTCTCTACATTTGTGCTACCTGTCATTGTCACACAATTTTTAGTGATTTCAAACTAATCTTTTGTATACCTGCTACAGTAATTTTCTTTAAGGAGGAAAATGATCAACAGTTAATGCAGGGCTACTCAAGTTTGGAAACCCCAGGGGCCACAATGATACTCACAGCACATGCTGAGGGCCACAATTTAAGTGTGGTTGCATAAATGTGCAAATAGATATACAAATATATGCAAATAGTTTTTCACACTGATGGGCATGAATACAAAGATTAAGGCAAGACTAGACAACACACAAGCCCCATTTAAATCAGTTGTACAGATATTAATAAAATGCAATATTTACCCAATTTCTACCCATATGACAGCACTTTTAATGAGCAATGACAGTCCAGAAATTTAACTACTAAAATTCGTATTAACAGAAGACCATTCTATTGATTGCTTTTTTGTTTTGGCTCCCACCTGTGGGCCGCATGTTGAGCCCTGCGTAAACCCAAACTACACTGCGGGCCACAAACAAATCCCGGGCCACACCCATGGGCTTCATGTTGAGTAGCCCTGAATTAATGTATAAAATAGCTAATGTGGTACAGAAATGGTATGCCTCCTATTATCAGTTACTTTAAACTCTAAAAGTAGAGATGCATTCTAACTATTACATATTCTTTTCAGACCATCACTGCACTTAGCCCTATGTATGGCAGTCGATTTGGATATGCCCTGTCTAATGGTACTGTAGGAGTGTATGACAAGGCATCTCGCTACTGGAGAATCAAAGTTAGTACAATCAAAAATATTCTGAAAAAAGAAATAAGAATATTATGTCTGCAATTTTCAAAGCCCAGTTCTTGTTAATTTTATTCTAGCCTATGTGTACTATGGGACTAATGTAATTATACAAAACTAATAGCATATCTGTTAACTTCTGCACTGCTGAAACTATTGCCTTTAAACTCCCCATTAGGAATACAGTCATAATGGGGGATTTTCACAGAATCATAGAATACTAGGACTGAAAGGACCTCGAGAGGTCATCAAGTCCAGTCCCCTGACCTCATGGCAGGACCCAGTACTGTCTAGACCAGTGGTCTCCAACCTTTTTACACCGAAGATCACTTTTTAAATCTCAGAACAGGCGAAGATCTACCGCCCCGCCCCTTCCTTGAAGCCCCGCCTTTTTCTTGAAGCCCCGCCCTCTCTGTTCTCCTCCTGTCCATCACTTGCTATCCCCAGCCCTTACTTACACACTCTGATAAACACTTTATTTTTAACTTATGCGATATATAAAATTAAAATCACGTGTTTATAGTTATGAAATAAATATAGTCTGTTTTTTATTCATGCTATTTAAATCTAAAATGAAACATTTATAATTATACATTTTGTGGGGACAGAGTTCTGCGGCTGGGGGCAGGGGAGAGGGAACAGGGTGCTGGGAGAGCAGAGGATAGGGTTCTGCAGCAGGGGACAGGGTGCCAGTGGGGACAGAGTTCTGTAGCTGGGGACAGGGGAGTGGAGTCTGGGGAGCGGGGACAGGGTGCCAGTGGCAGCAGAGTCACCTCCATCTGCCTCCTCCCAGGATTCTCTCTCTCTCCCTCCCTCCCCCTC